AGGAGGGCCAGGCGGCCGTGAGCCTGCAGGGGAGCGCGGGCTGGAAAGGTGCAGTCCGGGGACCCTGCGGGGCGTCTCCCCTCCCTCGCCCGTTTGTAAAGAGCCTCGACAGCCGGCGCGCCCGCATCGCTCTTTCCTTCGAGCGCCAGGAGGGAGAAGAGAATGAGGCAGGGAACCGCCTCCCGCTCGGACGGAGAATGCATTTCCCGCAGGATTAGGGCAGGCCACTTCGGAAAGTAGCGTCCGGGCCCCACAATCTCCATTATGGCTGGCAGGAGTTGTAGCCAGCAAGTTATAACATAGCCAGGAATGTATAATGCTGGGTCGCGTCTCCTCGAGGCAAGCCTGTGTTATTAGGGCTACCTGATCTGGGCGGCAAAAATCCGGACCACCACTTGATGGCAGCAAAGAGAATGTTTTAGTGGCTGTCAGGCGCTTTGCAGTTCAGATCTGGTAACCTTAAGGTTATGCGAGAACAAATGAAATTAGAGTGGAATAATCTGAAAAAGTTATACTGAAGCTTTTTGATGGATATTCATACTTGTAATTAGGACAACAACAACAACAACAATAAAAAAAAAAAAACTTGTACACAGCCCAACCCTAAAATACTAATTGGACTCCCACTGCTTTGGGTCCTACCATTTAAAGCAATAGAAAATATATTTACTCCATTATGTACTGAGACTTTCAAATAAAGATCAACTTTAGCTGAGTTGACTCTTCATACTAAGCTGTAGCATGTTTGTGGTTTAATCACCCACGGATGGGAATGAACAATGCCCAACTTTTTCTACATCAAAGCCTGTAGTCCAAACTGCCATGGGAAGGGGCCAAAACCAAAACTAAGTTTGGTTTCATTATAGTTACAGTGAAGTACAGATAATGCCATTGTTCTCCTATCCTATGGGTAGCTTCTACCTTTTAGGATCAAGCACCAACAGTAAAGGAACAAGCAATCAAAAAATACGCCACAGACTCACACTCAGTAGAGCAGCCATGAAGGCTTTGGAAAAGGTATTCAAATGCTGTGATGTGTCTCTACCTACACAGATCAGAATTGTACAAGCCATGATATTCCGCGTGACACCCTATGGAAGCAAAAGTTGGACTTTAAAGAAGCAGGATAGGAAGAGCATTGATGCCACTTCCTAGTGAGATGGCCAGTGACCAAATTTGAAAAATAAATAAATAAAAGTATTGATGCTTTTGAACTCTGATGTTGGAGAAGACTCCTAAGAATACTGTGAACAGCCAAGAAAACAAATGGATTATCTAACAAATCAACCCAGAGTTCTCATTCGAGGCACAAATGACCAGGCTCAAATGTTCCTACTTTGGACACATGATGCG